GGAGTTGGGGGCCTCGCGCTAAGAATCTGCCACGGGCCTCGCGCGACGTTAATCCGGCCCTGCTTGCTTGCTATAGACCACTGATTCGGGTGGCGATTTGACTAACTCAGGCCGAGTTGAGGGGGTGATCTGTCTTGTAGAAAGCTCTGTCCTGTGGTGTCGCATTTTTTACTTCTACCTTCATATTAACCCTGTTACCAGCTACAGCCTTTGATAAACTACGCATGTTTCCGCAGTCACTATGTCTTTCGTCTGCCTGATCGGCTGCGAAAAGTTCGGCTTCTAACTGAGAGTACTCCGCTTGTTCCCGCAAATCTTGTAACTCACGTTCTATCTGTTCTTGCACTTGTTTTTCCTTTGTTTTTGCTCTTCTCTCTGCCTGCTCTAGTTTCAACCTTGCTAATTCTGCTGAACGAGCCGCCGTCTTCACCATAGACGACACAGAGGACCCCCCTGAACGTCTACTCTTTGACGACCTTGACATGGAAACACTACTTTGTACTGACACAGAAAGTTTATCATCATCTTTAAGGTGAAGACCATTCTCAAACTTTGAGTCTCTCTCTAAACTGTGAATGCTCTTGTTAAGTTGATCAATAGCTAGTTGATTACATTAATTTATTTTTCGTTCGAGACTTTGACGTTGCATGCTAAGACGCTCCAAGTCACGCGTGTTATTAATCAGCTGCGAATAATCTTCACGTACTTTGAGGTACTTAACCCACCTTGAATGTATATATATAGTGTCCAAAGTTTTTTCAATTTCTGTAGTCTCAATATTATTATAATCATAAGTTTTTAAAGACTCTGAAGATACTTCAATAAATCAATAATTTGCGAAAGTTTTAATAATTCATGCTTTAGTCCTTTGGAATGTATTTCATTTAAATATTCTGCGTATTCACGCGGCACCTTCCGGGTCCGAGATGTCCTTCGTAAACCGTCGTTACTTCCGGCTTGTTGACTTCGTCGATCGCGAAGTTCGTCGAACTGTTTTGCACCGATTTCATCCATAAAAGATCAAACTATGTTGGGAACAAACCCAACCGAATGTCGTTTATATATCAAATAATAATCACCACGTCATTACACTTTATTTACTCTCAAATTTAGTTTATTTTAAGCAGTACATCATGAAAATATCTTGTACATATCAAATATCCATGCATCATTCTGTCCTCGATTCTGTCCGTATTTCGACTAATATCGGTCGTAAACAAGGTTTACTACATAGAATTACAAATAACGTTCATTAACAACAAGTTCAAGTGGTTCAAAGCCAAAATGAAAGAAATACTTACATCTTATGGCGATTTTAAAGCAGATTACGTTTGTATATCTGTCACGAATATCAATAGTTTTCAAAAAACCTCTCTCGCGAGGACTGTCCCTAAATTAATTATGCTAATGTCAACAAACGGCGTGAAATAATTAGATTAATTATAGTAGCGTACGTAACAGACACCTTACAGATAAATTATAGACATCTACATAGACACACTACAGAAGCCTCATTGATGACCCACAGACACCTTACAGATAAATTATAGACATCTACATAGACACACTACAGAAGCCTCATAGATGACCCACAGAAACCTTACAGATAAATTACAGACATCTACATAGACACACTACAGAAGTCTCATAGATGACCCACAGACACCTTACAGATAAATTATAGACATCTACATAGACACACTACAGAAGCCTCATAGATGACCCACAGACACCTTACAGATAAATTATAGACATCTACATAGACACACTACAGAAGCCTCATAGATGACCCACAGACACCTTACAGATAAATTATAGACATCTACATAGACACACTACAGAAGCCTCATAGATGACCCACAGACACCTTACAGATAAATTATAGACATCTACATAGACACACTACAGAAGCCTCATAGATGACCCACAGACACCTTACAGATAAATTATAGACATCTACATAGACACACTACAGAAGCCTCATAGATGACCCACAGACACCTTACAGATAAATTATAGACATCTACATAGACACACTACAGAAGCCTCATAGATGACCCACAGACACCTTACAGATAAATTATAGACATCTACATAGACACACTACAGAAGCCTCATAGATGACCCACAGACACCTTACAGATAAATTATAGACATCTACATAGACACACTACAGAAGCCTCATAGATGACCCACAGACACCTTACAGATAAATTATAGACATCTACATAGACACACTACAGAAGGGGCGTTGTAAAAACCCGGAATGCCGGAATATCACGGAATATGGCGGAATATCACGGAATATGGCGGAATATCACGGAATATGGCGGAATATCGCGGAATATCACGACATTTTCCAGGAATATACCGGAACATCACAATATTTTCCGATGGTAGCCATGCGACTGTTTATTAACATGGACGTCTGACAACATATTTTATTACAAAATGATGGATCTTTCCCATTTTGACGGTAAGTAACAAACAATAACTCTATACTGGAAGTTTTATATGTTGTTTATATCATTATTACGAGTTTTCACCAAAATTTTTGAATCAATGATTAATTCCTCCTGAGTTACAGCGTCTTGAAAAACAAAAGTACTGACGTCAGCATTATTTTCGAACGCCTTCAGAACTGTGTTATACATAAAATTTAGTTAAAATTGAACATTTTATACCACCAAGCATTTATCCAAAATTCAAATGCTAAAATAAAGGCAACTTTGAGCCAGTTGTTTAATCAGGTAAGAACCTTAACCAATAATTTTTAACTAAATTTTGTGCATAAAAGGCTCGTTCACACTTGCAATTTTCCTGCGATTTTAGGTGCGATTTTCTTCTTCTGATGCATTTGAACGAGTGGATAAGTTATGAATGTTCAGAAGAGACCTCATATACTCCGAACATTCGTAACTCATCTACTTGTTCACATGCATTAGGAGGAAATTGCAGTAGAAATCGCAGCAAAAATTGCAAGTGTAAACGGGCCTTTATAACACAGTTCTGAAGGCGTTCGAAATAATGCTGACGTCAGCACTTTTATTCTTCAAGACGCTGTAACTCAGGAGGAATTAATCATATTGATTTAATTTTTTTGGTGAACACACGTAATAATGACATAAACAACATATAAAACTTCCAGTATAGAGTTATTGTTTGTTACTTACCGTCAAAATGGGAAAGATCCATCACTTTTCTAATAAAATATGTTGTCAGACCCATGTTTATAAACAGTCGGAAGGCTACCATCGGAAAATATTGTGATGTTCGGATATATTCCGGGAAAATATCGTGATATTCCGTGATATTCTGCCATATTGCGTGATTTTGCGCCATATTCCGTGATATTCCGCCATATTGCGTGATATTCCGGCATTCCGGGTTTTCACAACGCCCCTACAGAAGCCTCATAGATGACCCACAGACACCTTACAGATAAATTATAGACATCTACATAGACACACTACAGAAGCCTCATAGATGACCCCCAGACACCTTACAGATAAATTATAGACATCTACATAGACACACTACAGAAGCCTCATAGATGACCCACAGACACCTTACAGATAAATTATACACTGTTAATTTCAAGGAGTTATTTTAACTCCACCATAGGAGTTAAAACTACTCAACTCGGGAGAGTAAAAATTGTGGAGTAAAATCTACTCCCAAAATAGAGTTAAAACTACTCCACTTCGGCGCGCATTCTACAATTTAC